AAACCAGGAGCCTGGAGCTTCCTCCAGGTCTCCCGCATGGGCGCAGGAGCCTAAGCACTTGGGTCATCCTCTGCTGCTTTCCCAGGCACTGAGCAGGGAGCGGGATCAGAAGTGGAGCAGCCGGGACTCGAACTGGTGCCCGTGTGGGATGCCAGCGCTGCAGGCGGTGGTTTTACTCGCTAACGCTACTACGCCAGCCTTTAAAATTGATCTTGAACATTGCTGAGGAGATGCTTATGATTTCAAGTGAAAAAAAAAGCAAACTAAAGTTGAACGTGCGGTTTCGTTTTGGTAGAAACAGCGTGTGTAAAACACGCAGATGGTGTGTGTAAGCGTCACACATGGAAAACAGCAGCCAGACGTGGCTCGGGAGACAGTGAGCTGCCACGTGTCTTCCTGCAGTCTTCTGTGCTTTGCAGATCTCCCCGGTGGGCGCCCGCAGTTTCATGGCGAGATCCCCTCACCGTCCCAGAATGCACACCGCCTTTGCTCGGCTCCCATCAGCGCGAGTCCCGCGTGGCTCTCTCTGGGGAGTGGACACCATGCTTGGCTGCGTGCATTTGTTCCTTTGCTGTGGGCGCACCTGGCGCTCCTTCCGCTCCCAGCACACCTGTGCACGTGTCAGGTACACGGATGGAGCGAGAGCCCGTGTGTGGGTGCACCTGGCGCTCCTTCTGCTCCCAGCACTCCTGTACACGTGCACAGGTACACGGACGGAGTGAGAGCCCGTGTGTGGGCGCACCTGGAGCATCTTCTGCTCCCAGCACTCCTGTGCACGTGTCAGGTACACGGATGGAGCGAGAGCCCGTGTGTGGGTGCACCTGGCGCTCCTTCTGCTCCCAGCACTCCTGTGCACGTGTCCGGTACACAGATGGCGCGAGAGCCCGTCTGCTGGGGGGAGGGATGGAAGGAGGCCTGGCCCTCTGTTGCCGTCTGGCCATGGGTGCTTGTGTCCAGTGTGGCCGGAGGAGCCTGTGTTGGCGTTGGAATGAGATGGATCCGCGTCCTGAGCGAGGCTGGGCAGCTCATCAGAGCGCCTCCGTCCCCCGCTCGGCTCAGCTGTGCTTGTCTGGTCTTCCCTCCTTTGATGGTCATAAGCCGGGATCGCAGACTGCCCTGGGCAGAGGGCACGCCCACCACTGAGTCCATGGGTTGAAAGGCTGCACTGGGGCCATGGCTGTCTGACCCCTCGGCAGGTCGCCTGTGTCCCAGTGCCGCTGTTTCTCTGGGGGATGTGAGAGTGGGGTGGGCGATGTCATCTTCGGTGTTTATTTCAGGAACAGTGAGCAGCTTCTGCCGCAGAGTCAAATTGCCATTCAGATGCCCGGCTGGGCGACAGTGCAACCCAGGCAAGGAGGGTGGGAGGCCCTGCTGTCGTCTCCGACACCTGCTGCTGTACTGGCACCACGAGGATAGATGCCAATTGTTTTTTAAAGAAGATTTATTTATTTGTTTGAAAGACAGAGTTACAGAGAGGATGAGGCAGAGAGAAAGAGAGAGGGAGAGAGAGTTTTCCATCCAGTGGTTCACTCTCCAAATGGCCTCAATGGCCAGAGCTGGGCTGATCTGAAGCCAGGAGCCAGGAGCTTCTTCTGGGTCTCCCACGCAGGTGCAGGGGCCCAAGGACTTGGGCCATCTTCCACTGCTTTCCCAGGCCATAAGAGAGAGCTGGATCGGAGGTGGAGCAGCTGGGACTTGAACCAGCGTGCATATGGGATGCGGGCACTGCAGGCAGAGGCTTTACCCATTATGCCATAGTGCCGCCCAGATGTCAGGTTTTTTTTTTTTTTAATAATTTTGTTTATCTAGTTTGTTTATTTGAAAGGCAGAGAAGAGCAGAGAGGTCCCACCCACTGGTTCACTCCCCAAATGCCTGCAACAGCCAGGAACTCCGCCCAGGGCTCCCATGTGGGTGGCAGGGCTCATTGACGTGAGCCCTCACTTGTGGCCTCCCAGGGTGCACCTTAGCAGGAAGCTGGGGTTGGAAGCAGCATCGGGACTCGCAGCAGGCACTCTAGTGGGAGGCAGGCATCTCCGTGCTACACCAACACCCTGAGGAAGAGGTCCCTGTTGCGAGGGAGGAGGAGACGCTGGGACAGCTGCCAGGTCAGAGGTCAGCTTCCCGCGGCGTCACGGGAGAGACCGACCCGGGCCTGTCAGATGCCGTGAGTCCGTTAGCCCTTGGCCCGGACCTGGGGAAGCGACGGGGCTTCCTCTAGCACTTTTTGCGCTTTTCGTCTGCAGAACTGTGTCGTCCCAGCTGGGAAAGCCCATGCAGGGAAGCTGGAACAGGCGGCTCGTTGCCTCCTGCATCTGCCTGCCTGATCGTTCTCCCCCGAATGTTTGCCCTGGTTACCTGGGCAACATTTTCCAGGACTGGAAACAAAGATGGAGCGCACCCATGTTAATGACCTTGAAAGTGATGCAACGGCCATGGAAATCCTTGACTAATCTGTGCTGATTACCTAATTTCCTCAGGTGAGGGAGGAGGCCACGCCGGCTCAGACAGCTGCTCAGGGCTTGTTGCTGGATCACATGCTTGTGGTTCCCTGCGTGGGGAGAGACGGGGCAAGGTGGGGCTCTGAGGCGCCTGGGCAGAGACCCTGAGCCCAGCACCCGTGGGGAACCTGGCAGCGCTGCCCCCAGCACGGTGAGCAGGCAGCTCCCCCGGTCCTCCATGCCCAGGGCAGCGTCTCCTGCATGGCTGCGTTGATTGACAGCTGCCCCAGAGGCCCTGGGGTTGGACCCTCCGTGGAGCAGCACCCACGGGCACTGTTCCTGGGTCGGGGTTTCTCCACGTCTCCTGAGCGCAGCAGAGGCGGATGGAGACAGACGAGAGCCAGCCCTGCCGTGTGAAGGCGGAAGTCCGAAGGCTGTGCACCTGTTTGTCCAGCTGTGTGAGCAGCCGCCTGGTGCGCCTGCATGGAGGGGTGGCGCCCGGTGCCTGTGGAGGGGAGGAGCAGAAGCGCCCCACCCCCACCGCAGCCCTCGCAGGCTGACTCCCCGTGCCCGTGGGCCCTCAGCCCATTCCCGTGGGGCCTGGTTTGTGGCAGCACCTGCACCCCGAGAGCCACTTCCTGCACTTTCTTCCCCTGCCCTCGGTGATGGGAGACAGAGGGTGCTTGGAATCCTGAAGCTGGGAGCCTGTGTCGCCATCCCCGTGTCTACAAGCAGTGAGAATGTCCAGCGTGGGTGGGAGTGGGCAGGCCCCTGAGAAGAAGGTGGGGCCAGGAGGGCATGCGGGGGTGCAGGGGCTGCCTGGTCAGGGCCCCAGGGGCGGCTTTCCCAGGGTCTGGCGCTTCCATGTCCGTCCACAGCAGGTGCGGCTGGGGCTGGCTTCAGCCGGGCACTGCCTGCTCCGACACCTCTGGCCCTGTGTGCGGCTGGTGAGTCACTTCCCTCCTCCGGGGCAGCAGCTCCTGTTTGCCAGGGTGGGTGCTTACAGTGTAGGAGGGAGGCAGAGGGCAGCTGCCCGCCTGCCTGAGGGAGGAGGCGGAGCTGGCGCCCCTTGGGCCTGTCTGAGCCTGGGTGTGAGAGGCCGAGCAGGCTCTTCTCTTGGGAGTCAGCTGGGGTCTTCCGTGAGGGGTGGGCAGCAGAGCAGAGGCCTTGTCCCTCAGGGCCTGGTGTCACCCACTCTGCCCTCCGCACTGCCCTCAGTTCCCCACAGAGCCAAAGTCGCGCCGTTAGCGCTTCCCTTCCTGCGTCTGTCTGCTGGGGTGGCCTTTGGTGCCTCTTCCTCTCCCCTCGCCCGTCACTCGCCGTGTTCTGGGGACTCGGCGCCTCCCCATGCCCTGGGCCCTGCCCCTGCCCGCTTCCTCCGTGGGTCCCCCGATCTCTCCCTCTGCCCAGGGCACTCTCCACGGAGCCCGGGACCCGGGCTGCTCTCCCCACCGTTGTATTCGATGCTGTGCAGCAGGACCGCTGCGTGCTCTGGGTGTGGCCAGTGCCCAGATCAGGTCTCAGTGGACGCCCAGGGCCCCTCCCGCAGCCTGCCTGCACCTGGCCGACAGGTGTGGGGTCTGCCCTGCACCAAGTCCCTCGGGTCGCAGTGTGCCGACACCGCTGGGTGGCTCTTTGGTCACCAGTGAAGGCAGATGCCCAGAGCTGCGTCCTGTCTTCTCTGTGTCACCCGACCAGTCCTCCATGGCCATTCCCCATCTCGGATCCACACGGACCTGCTGAGCCCACACTGATCTCGATGACATGGCTCTCCCTGTGGACTGGGGCCCCACGTCTCATTCCCCGCCCCAGCTGGACTGTGGGGGCCCAGCCGGCACGGACTGCCCCTTGCCCTGAAGTCTCAGACGCCCCGAGATGTCCTGAGCCCTCATTGGCCTTCCTCCCGGGGATCCCAGCCCAGCCGCCGGCCCAGAGCTGCATGTTGGGGTCCTCAGCCCCCTGGGGGCAGTTTCTTGAGGACAGGTGCTTCGTCTTCTGCTGGCCATGACCCGTGGACTCTGGGTTCCATCCCCTGCGAGTGACTTGTCCCATTCTGTGGCTCCGCTCCCGCACCCTCGTCTTGTCACCCCAGCTCCCTCTCCCAGGGACGGAGGGCTGGGAATTCAGAGCCGCCAGCCCCAGCAAACCCTGCCTCCATCCCTGGGGCCCCGTGCACCTGCGTGTGCTGGCTTTTCAGAACTCACCCTGCTGCTGCCTGTGTGTGCCGGGTCTTTGTGTCCCTTCCTGGGAAGGCTGAGGGCGGACCCGCCGTGGCTGAGTCCCCCGTGAGCCGTGGAGCTGGGTCTCTGTGAGGCTCTGCCTCACGCCAGCTGCCCTGGGCACGGGGTCTGACACCTTCCGTGGGCAGGCCCTGTGCGGTGTCCCGAGGACTTGTCGCATGCTCATGTTTCAGCCGCGGAAACTCTGCCAGCCGTTAACCGGGCTCTGACATTTTTGTCTTCATATCTTCCATTTGCTCACTTCTGGTTCCACTGACCTGGTTGGAATCTAGAATCTTCTCCATGCAGAGATGCTAAAAATAGCCCTGCTCTTTCCTGTAGGCGTCGACACCGCTCGGGACCACAGAGCATCGGCAGCACCTCCCAGGAGCCCGGCTTGCCGGGGACGCGGCATCATGGTCTCCCGCTTCACGAGGGCTCTCAGGTGGGTGAGCAGTTGAAAGAGAAGGTGCGAGAGTAAGAAAGTGGATATCTGTGTTTGACTGTTTCGATTCTTAAAAAATTATTTGAAGGCAGAACAAAAGGGAGCGAGAGACACACACATACACGTACACACAGAGAGATCGTCCATCCGTTGGTTCTCTCGCCCAATGGCTGCAACAGCCAGGGCTGGGCCAGGCTGAAGCCAGGAGCCTGGAACTCCATCCGGGTCTCCCAGGTGGGTGGCAGGAACTTGGTTACTTGGGCCCCCATCTGCTGTTTCCTGGTGCCTGAGCAGAAATGCTGGATTGGAAGTGGAGCAGCTGGGACTCAAACCCAGGCTCTGCGATCTGGGACGCGGGCGTCCTACGTGGAGGCTTAACCTGCTGTGCCACAACGCGCCGTCTTCAAATGCTCTTCAAAAAGTTGACCCGAAGTCTGGAAAGAGGAGGAAGCAGGTTTTGCTCAGAGTTGCATCGTTGGAGCCGGCTTGTAGGGTAGCCTCCCCTGCCCTGTAACTGTCCAGCAGCCCAAGGCCGGGAGTGCCCAGTGAAGGCGGCGTGCTCCGTAAGGGGTGAGCAGGACAGGGCCATGTGGGACTGCCCAGCCAGGCCGGGAGCCCTCCCCGCTCGGGCCCATGCCAGGCGCATGCCTGGGTAGAGTGTGTGTGTGTGTGTGTGTGTGTGGAGTCGCCTAGGGAGCCTGAAACAAGCAGATGCCTACAGGCTTACAGTCCCAAGACACACCCACAGCCACGGGTCTTCACCTGTGGCGTGCACACAGCGTGTCCGGTCCGAGCGGACTCCGAGGGGCTCCAGGAAAATGGTGACGATCGTGTCAGTTTGCCGGTGCTCAGCAGGTCTGGGGGTCGAGGCATAGGCTTTGCTGCTGTTGTTTGTTATTTTTGTTTTTTCCATTACGTGTTTTCCACGAGTTACCAGAGAGGGTGGGAGAGCTTGGTTCTGTGGCCTCCTGTGGCCTGTGTGACCCAGTCACTCCGGGATCAGCCTAGGTGGTGTCTGGGGCACTCCCGAGGGAAGGCATTGTGCCTAATGTGAGTGAGTGTGTGTGCATTTCCATTTTCATGTATTTGTTATTTTTTAAAAGTGATTTATTTATTTGAAAATCAGAGGCACAGACAGAGAGGGACAGACAGACAGACAGACAGACACACACACACAGAGATCTTCCATCTGCTGGCTCACTCCCTAGGTGGCCACAATGGCCAGTACTGGGCCAGGCAGGAGCCAGGAGCTTCATCTGGGTCTCCCATGTGGGTGCAGGGGCCCAAACACTTGGGCCATCGGCTGCTGCTTTTTCCAGGCCATTAGCAGGGAGCTGGATCAGAAGTGGAGTGGCAGGGTCTTGAACTGGCGCCCGTATGGGATGCCGGTGTCGTAGGTGGTAGCCTTACCTGGTACGTCACAACGCCAGCCCCCGGTTTGTGTGTTTCTGAACCGTGACGTACCAAAGAGTTGAAGAGCCAATTCTGGATATGAAAGCTGTGGAAGCTTTGAAACTCTTACAAGACCAGTGAGGGCAATGAGGGCGGCGGCAGCTGGCCCCGTGGGTCCCCTCCAGAGCATGTGGTTGGGCACTAGGACCCGATGGGAGACCTGGTCAGAACGGGACGGCTGCATGCCCCAGAATACCGGGGACCCTCAGAGCCCAGCGGGGGTTTCTTGGGAGAAGTCGCTGCACACAGCTTTCCCGTGGTGCCCTGTGTCCCAGCTGCCGCCTGCTGCTCACCGGGACATCTCCCCAGGAGCCCTGCTGCCCACACGTGGGAAAGAGAAGTGGGAATTTGGGGAATGGGAGATCCCCAGGCAATCGACTGGGGGTTTCTGTGCAATCCTGTTTTCCTAAACCGGGCTCACCCACGCACCAGTGTGCGTCTGGTTCCAGGGCCCCGTGAGTGTTTTTCAGCCGCAAACCAAACACGCTGTCTGCAGTGTTTGGTTGGTTGGCTGTTTGTGTAAATGCTTCTCCAACTGCTCTGGGGCAGAGGGCCCCAAGAGCAAGAGGTCTTGGACCTCACTGGTGGACGAGAAGTGCATGCGCACACACACACACACAGACATTGGAAGTGCATGCAAACACACGCACACACACACAGACGTCAGAAGTGCACACACACACACACAGACGTCGGAAGTGCATGCGCACACACACACACAGACGTCGGAAATGCACACACACACACACAGACGTTGGAAGTGCACACACACACACACAGACGTCGGAAGTGCATGCGCACACACACACACACACAGATGTCGGAAGTGCACACACACACAGACGTCGGAAGTGCATGCACACACTCACACACAGACGTCGGAAGTGCATGCACACACACACACAGACGTCGGAAGTGCACACACACGCACACACACAGATGTCGGAAGTGCATGCACACACACACAGATGTCGGAAGTGCACACACACACGTCGGAAGTGCACACACACGCACACACACAGACATTGGAAGTGCATGCACACACATGCACACACAGACGTCAGAAGTGCACACACACACGTCGGAAGTGCACACACACACAGATGTCGGAAGTGCACACACACGCACACACACAGACGTTGGAAGTGCATGCACACACACAGATGTCGGAAGTGCACACACACACGCACACACACAGACATTGGAAGTGCATGCACACACATGCACACACAGACGTCGGAAGTGCACACACACACACGTCGGAAGTGCATGCACACACACACAGACATCAGAAGTACACACACACACACGTCGGAAGTGCATGCACACACACACAGACATCAGAAGTGCACACACACAGACGTCGGAAGTGCATGCACACACACACATCGGAAGTGCACACACACACAGACGTTGGAAGTGCACACACGCATGCACACACACACAGACGTCGGAAGTGCATGCACACACCCACAGATGTCGGAAGTGCATGCACACACACACGCACACACACATGTTGGAAGTGCATGCACACACACACACAGACGTCGGAAGTGCACACACACACAAAGACGTCAGAAGTGCATGCACACACACACAGATGTTGGAAGTGCATGCACACACACATGCACTCACACACATGTTGGAAGTGCATGCACACACACACAGATGTCGGAAGTGCACACACACACACAGACGTCGGAAGTGCACACACACACACAGACGTCGGAAGTGCATGCACACACACACACTCAACACAAAGACGTCGGAAGTGCACACACACACAGACGTCGGAAGTGCACACACACACATGCACTACACACAGACGTCGGAAGTGCACACACACACAGACGTCGGAAGTGCACACACATGCACTCACACAGACGTCGGAAGTGCACACACACACAGACGTCGGAAGTGCACACACACACAGACGTCGGAAGTGCACACACATGCACTCACACAGACGTCGGAAGTGCACGCACACATACACACAGACGTCAGAAGTGCATGCACACACACACACTCAACACAAAGACGTCGGAAGTGCATGCACACACACACACTCAACACAAAGACGTCGGAAGTGCACACACACACAGACGTCGGAAGTGCACACACACACATGCACTACACACAGACGTCGGAAGTGCACACACACGCACACACACAGACGTCGGAAGTGCACACACACGCACACACACAGATGTCAGAAGTGCATGCACACACACGCACACACAGACGTCGGAAGTGCATGCACACACACACGCACACACACACAGACGTTGGAAAATGCGCTGCAGAGGGTTCACAAAGTGGACATTCCATTGTCTCTAACAGTCCCTCTGGGGTTCTGCGCGTCGCCCTGGAGGGACTCAGAGCCACTTCCCTTTGTTGAGAGGCTGGAGGGGCCTGTGTGCTCGCCCAGCGTGGGGGCTGGGGGAGGGGCTCTGGGGCAGGGAGAGTCACGGGGGAACCCAGGAGCTGTGGGCACAGTCAGGTTGGCCCCTCAGTGGCCCTGGTCGGTGGGTTGTCCTTGAACCTTGGGCACCGTGAAAAATGCAGGGCAGATGAAATATTTTTTGGACCGAGCGATAAGCCAAGGCTAGATCAATGGGAAGGCCAAGGCTAGACCATTGGGTAGGCCAAAGCTAGATGAAAGTGTAAGCCAAGGGTAGACTAGTGGGTAGACCAAGGCTAGATGAAAGTGTAGGCCAAGGCTAGACCAAAGGGTAGGCCACGGTTAGACCAAGGCATGCTTGCTACCATTACAAATTATAGAGTGAGAGCTTTTGAGGAGACACGTGTATCGTTAGGGATGGTGGTTTCACAGCTCTTAGGGAGGCGAGCTCTGGGTCTTCTTATAGGCTTGACAGGTGGCTGGCCCTGGGTCACGAGTCTGGTTTCGGTCTTTGAAAAAGTAACATTTTTCGTTTCCTTGGTAGACCTCACTCAAATGTGATCACTTTAACGTCTGCAGCTCTGCCGTTCTTTTGTTTTTTTAAAGACTTATTTTATTTATTTGAAAGGCAGAGTGGAGGTGGGGGGGGGAGAGAGGGAGAGAGAGGGAGAGAGAGGGAGAGAGAGAGAGAACGCCCCAAGCATAGACTGCACAGGTGCACAGGTGCCTGAAGGGAGCGAATGGGAATCGCTCCGTGGAGAACCCTGTGATGGCCCAGAAGGGCCCAGTTCATGTCCCTGTGCAGGGATGAGCAAGTGGGGAAGGAGGGAGAGGCCAGGCCTGGACCCTGTGGTCTGACACCTGTTGGTGCTCATCAGGTGGGGCAGCTGGCTCGCATACCACTGCCCGCTGATGCTTGGTCAATACGTGTGGGACGCGGAGTGAATCCCTCCACAGTGGTCAGTGCAGAAGTGACCGGCTCTGAGTTCCATCTTCCCCAGCAGGGTGGTGTAGTTCATTGCTGAAGTGGGCCAGGCTATGGCCTCACATGCAACAGGTGTGGGCAGGCCAGCAAGAGTTGTCGTCAGGGGCAGTGGGAGTGTGCAGAGCCCCTGCTTTCTGCTTTCTCAGGCCATAGCAGGGAGCT